TATATATATATATATATATATATATATATAGAGAGAGAGAGAGAGAGAGTCAAATGTTCCCTAGAAGGACTTAATCGGTCTCAAGAGGACGAAACACGTCATACCGAATTTTTTTACTTTGTCTAATAATGTTCTGATATATAGAAATTTATATTATATTCTTTATATATATATATATATATATATATATATATATATATATATATATATAGATTTCTTACTTTTTTTCTTTTAGGACTAAGAGGGTGTAGAAAGTGCCCAAGGAATTTGCCGAAAGTTCTTGGAACAATAATCACTAGGGACAATATCTACAATCTCGTAGTCTTCATAAAAGAAAAACCATGAGAATGTTAGAAAAATTGAATAAAAAATCTATCAAAAAATGCCCTTTTCCGTCACATTCAATGAAACACTCTAAATGTAATGCCAATCGTTATCTTCTCTTTTCTTAATGCTTGTTCTTTTATTGTTCTCTTTCCTTAGTAGTAGTTTTTCTTATATTCTATAACAGTCAGTAACCCCTTGCGTCTTAGTAGCTTTATTGCCTTATTTTGGGATGTAATGATTGCACAAATACACAATATATATATATATATATATATATATATATATATATATATATAAATGAAAGAACAGTAAGATATATAATCCGGTGTTCTTATAGATATTTTTATTTTTACAAAATAGTGCTCAATGTAAATTTACAGAGCATTAATATTATAAATTAATTGATTTAAAATATGTCTTTTTTCGCTACCAGTCACCCCTTGTCTAGCAAAATAGATTTATCTGTAACCTTGGAAACATGAATTTTATTTTAGCTGTGTATTTAAAACCCAGTAATTTTAAAAGTTACTCCAAAATTCGCTTGAGGATGAAATGGAACTAATATCTTTAATTTAATTACAAAATTAAATTCAGGGCTTTTAGCTTCCATTTTTGAAACATGGTTAGAACTGTGTAGGAAAAAACATATTTTTAAATCAATTAATGTATAATATATATATATATATATATATATATATATATATATATATATATATATATATATAAGATTATCCCACTACAAACCATATTATACCATAAACAGTTTGAAAAAAAAATCCTGCGAATTTTAAAATTAAAATTCGTAGGTGAAAATGGTCATTAACTAAAGGTATCTTAATTGCAATTGTAAAGAAAATGTACTTTGTTTAATGAAAATAAGCATTAAACACGCTTTTGTGAGTCAATTTTAACATATTTCAAATTCCATGTTTTGCTAAATGGACTCGCCTAGATTATACCAACGGATTACCACCAATATATATATATGTATGTGTGTATGTATGTATGTATGTATGTATCAAGCCCTACTTAAATATAAATTACGTTGATATAACTACTTATTTCATTCATAAATTTTGAACGCGTTTGGTCTTCATCTATTGACATCGGGACACACACGCATTTAGCAGACATACACAGTGATAGAAGACGATGAACAATGTCTCATAAAACTGTGTCCCAACCCCCAAGTGCGCTGAAGGGAGCATGCACACAGGCCATCAAACTCGCGTGCATACACACAATAATATTTATGTGAACAGATTCCGGACGAGCAACTATTAAAAAAAATTACATATAAAAATAAACGCTGAATAAAACATAAAACCGACTGTTTAATTTTCAAGGACTCATAACTTAAGAAAACAAAAACTCTTTCCTCACACACACAAATAATATAAATATATATATATATATATATATATATATATATATATATATAGAGAGAGAGAGAGAGAGAGAGGCAACATTTTTCATTTATATATCTTTCATTAAATGCGTTGGACAAGAGAAATTTTATAATGCTTTTTTTTTTCTTTATCTGTCATATTGAACTAAACGTTTGTGTGTAATCTTGTTTAGTCTGATATGAAGCCACAATGTTAGAATAACTATGAGAAGATTGTATTGCGCCATTTTTATAAGTTTTTAAACCCAACCTTCACCGATCACTGACGACTTTACAAAAGAACCTATTATTTCGATTATTCATTTCTTGTTATAAGTAAATAAACACAAATTTCAAATTGATGGGATATCATTTCCCGTATGAGTAAGAAAATAATTGCAATATTTCAGGTCCCTACTTGAAGGAACGTGTTTATATAACAAATAAATATTCATTTACTTCTCTCTGGCCTGGGGTAATATCTAGCGAGTTATTTACGATATAATTACTAATGATTTAAATCATCGCTGAGTGCTCCGTAATTGTGATCTTGTACCAAAACTAATAAATAAATTAATTAATTAATTAATATCATTTACTTCTCTCCACCGTGTTTCTCAGAGTTTGCACCCACTCGTCAGGGGGCTTTAGAATAAAATTCTTTACCAACCAAAATATATATTTATTATATATTATATATATATATATTATATATATAGTGTATCTGTGTGTGTATGTTATACATATACGTAGACAGACACAAGAGTGTATCAATAAATCCAATACCTGAAACTGACCTTTTTTTTATCATTTCACCTCAAGCAAGATGATAATACCTCTAAAACGTAAAAACGGGGGGTGGATACTTGGACTGAAAGAGACGGAACCGGAATCCAAATCCTAAAAAGGAAACAAGGGATAAACCTTTACTCCTGTTCAAAAGATGAGGAAGGAGTGTGAATAGATGACCCTACACACTTAGTTGATTTATATTTGTAATTCTGTTTAGGGATCGCTATGATTAATGATATATTGGGTTAAATGCAATGGCAAGGAATGATATATTGAAAAATATTTCTGTAAAATTATTACCTTTTTATCATTAGGCTACAGACATACTGATTCAATTTTGTCGACATACAATGTACGTGTGTGCGTGCCTGTGGAGATGTATATTTAAAGACAGTGATCTTTCTAATCGAGTCAACAGACGCCATATGCGTAAGGAAAGTTTGTACTCTAGACGATTCACCTTAAAGCTACAATATTTAATCATTAGTCAATGTACTAAAATATCTCAGGCTAGAAAATCAAGAAAAGACATCATATGAAATATAATTTATTACTCATTCCAAACAGGTAATAACAGTTAAAGAATTTCATATTACAAAATTACAATCAATTAAACTCAATGTTCGTGTGTGTAAAAGATCATCTCTGAAATGAGGAATGCCTATGTGATAATAATAATAATAATAATAATAATAATAATAATAATAATGATGATGATCTTAGTGTCTCGTGGAGAACGTTGAAATCATTCGCAAGTTCGATCCTCTGAGATTATGTTTCTTTTACGACTGTACTTTAATGAAGTTAAGCGTAGTGAATATCATTGAAGCGCGGACGGTATGTTTTGTTTTGTTTTTTTTTTGTTTATTTTTTCGATGATGCGTTCATTAGCGTAAAACGTTCGATCATCAATGGGGACCACAGAAATAGTTTTGTGCCAAACCCAGATCTACAAAGAGAACGAAGAACCATCTTTACAATAGTTAGTGTCCGACCCGTGGTAAAAAGCTATGGTAGTTAATGCTGATTTTCAAAGCATAACCTATTTGAAATATTTATCCACTAAATTCCCCTCTATTTGGTTTCACGTTAAGTTAATCGGTTGTCGTTACGAATTCGAACAGAAGTCTATAGGTACTTGTAAAATCGTCAAACCCCCAAATATGCTTCGTTGACAGAGAGTCCGTATTTACTTGGGCATAAATATTTTTTTAATGTGGGGGGATATGCTTGGAAATGTTTTAAACTTTATTTGATGAATAATTCAGACTAGTATCTTTCAGCTTTTGCTTTCAATCACTTGATCGAAACAGCAGTGATGAGGATGTTAGTCTGAAGGGATTTGTTAAGTCATGACAAAATTCAACCTCTGAACGATAAACAACAGAAAAACCGAAACAAATTAACTCCTAAGATTAGAAGAATTTTGCAAATGAATAAATTGTGACCGAGTATTTGCTTTTCAATTTCACCTCATATAAGGCGCATGGGGGTCTGCGAAGAGCTTCATTTCAAACGCTGGATATAGTTATGAACTGTATAAAAAGAAAACACGAAAATAAATAAAAAATCTATGATAGTCGCAGCTATCTCTTGACTAAAGTATGAAGCTGTTTTCGCATTTTAACCAAGAATAGTGCATCTTACGTAATGTTAATTACAATTCATCTTGAAAGAATTTGTCTGTTATATTTTAACAGTATTCCGATGATGAATAAATAATGTCACAATTATCAAAAGAAAAATATGGAATTAACAAAGAGTGTTTCACTTAAAGCTGTTTATGTTGCATTTCGTACATTTGGTTTTAGAAACCAACCCTCTATCTAAGAGCTAAGATATTTCTACGTTCGCGCGCACACACACATATATGCATATATATTTATATATCTTTGAATTCCCCACGCACACCAAATTCGTTTTATTTTTTCCTTAATATATACATAAACAGTGAGGAATTTGTTTTTGTGTGCGTATATTATGTCATAATTTGCCCTTAATTCGTCACAAAGCCACTAGTTACAGTACCTGGAGTTCCCTGGGCGATTACCAGCTCTGTATATTGGCTTCAAATTTCTTGTATCTATAAAGAAAGAATGGTCAGGATCGAAAAGAAAGTGTTTGTAGATATAAATGGTGTGATCATAAAATCATACTTTGATGTTTTTTTAAGGCATGAAAACTGACAATAAACATGCAATGTTGATTTTCATGCGAACAAAACTGTTCTATTCAGAGATTGTTATTGATCAATTGAAATTAACAAAACAAATCAGAATATTAAAAAAATCGATCTCCACTGACCAAAAAATAAAATAATTTGTGATTTAGTCAAAATAAGGGATAAAAATGCGAAAATAAAAGGCTTTGAACAAAAGAGATATACAAAAAAAAAAAAAAAAAAACACGAACGCACATCTTTCACACACATGAACACATACACATGTGTGTGTATATGTGTGTATGTCGCGGGAGTATTTTTGTTTATAAGAATTTAGAAGAAAATTTTTTTCAAAATAATGCAGAGAGAGAGAGAGAGAGAGAGAGAGGTGGAAATGTAGAAATTAGACTGAGAGAAAAACGTTGAGATTGATAGATGAGAGGGAGTAGAAGGAAAGAGAGAAGAGAAGAATAGGTGAAAGAATGTGGGAAAGCGAATGTAAGAGAGAAAGTGTTGAGTGCGAGAGAAATAGATTGAAGAGAGAGAGAGAGAGAGAGAATATGTCGAAAGTAACATCGTTTTAACAACCAAACTGTCACGAAAATCATTTTTGTAATTTTGTAACATCGTTTGGTTAAGAATTAAAAAGAAAGAAAAAGTAAAGAAAATTATGATAATATCCGGAATTAGTCAAAGCAACCGTCCCTTCCTCTCCTCCACCTGCACCTCACGGGGGTGGGGGAGTGTTCATGAAAATAGTTGCGTCTATGTGCAAAAGATGGCGCGAAAAAAAAAAAAAAAAAGATTCAGTTTATTCTATATCATCGAACCGAGTCAGATTTTCATTCCCAACTCTGAAAAGGTGGGGTTGTTTCTTTGAAGTTTCCTCCATTATATGTAGAATAGTTAACCTTGATTAGTGAATTTGAATATATGTGAACAGAAAATAAGGTCATTAAAACTTGAACATTGAAATGTGTATGCATGTTTGACTTAGAATATGGAATTTGCTTAAAGAGTAAGTACCAAAAAGTCAGTAATTTCATTAAAATATAATATTGCCTGTTTTAAACTTTAAACTATTCCCTTCATGATTATTTACAATACAAATCGCAAATCATTTTTTTTTTTTTTTTTGCAGGTGGGTGGGAGGATCTATTTATCAAAACTGGTTTTAATAATGAAAATATCTATCTATGATTCATACCTGTCTGAAAATAAGTTTAATTTTGGAGCCACCATGCAGCGTGTAGATCAATTATATTACAGTATTCACTAATGAATATAAATTTGAATTTGTACCTAAAATTATTGAACAAATTATTTAACTTTGGTTAATTTAAGTACTTATAAAATAGGTATAACTGATATTCTAAAATATTTCAGAGTTTAGTTAATACGAGAGGGTACTGAAAATTTCACTGTCCACTTCCTAAAATCAGTATTTTCGATAACAAAACATCAGAATATTCCTTTTGGGAAGGGCATTGGGCCGAGAACTTTTCAAAATTCTCAAATACCACATTGCATTTCTAATGGATTTTTTTTTACCATTTTTATTTTAATTATTTATTTGCGTGTGTGAGGGGTGGGGGGTGAGCAAATTATTTATGTACATAAATATGATTAGATATACACCCGGTGGTTAGGTGAATATGATTGAAAGTGTTAGTTCTGGTTCAATTTCGATAAAATAAAAGACCTTCTCCACGAGCCTAATTTGCATACAAAAAAAAAAAAAAAAAATACTCGTCTTATTACAATTACTGTTCTGATCGATGATTGCTATGAGAACAAAAGTCGGAAAAAATTAAAGAAATCAGAATACACTGACAATTCCTGATTTCAAATCTAAAAAAAAAAAATAATGGACATCTGAAGATGCCCAGAGAATACTTAGCCGAAACGTCGTAACGATAATAAATTCTGCAACGTGTAAAGATACGAAATAATAATTAAAATACGACTGCGGGTTCTCGCATTGGGAAGTCCCTATACCCTCCCGCACGCGCATATATATATATATATATATATATATATATATATATATATATATATATATATATATATATATATATATATATATGTGTGTGTGTGTGTGTGTGTGTGTGTGTTACACCCACGTATACATACTAAACTAAAGTAATACCTTTTCACACATACAATGCCAGACATAGATAGTTGTAAAATTATTTCATTTTTTAGAGAGGTTTTCTTAAATTTTAAATATAAAAATGTTTAAAAATTAAAATAGGTTTAAAAATCTTTTACATATATCTGGTTACAGTCTGGTTTACACGACTACTGAAATATTTACGTGGCTCAAGAAGAAAAAAGATGTTAGACCAAATTATCTTTTTAAGTCTCATGTTAGCAGGTTTGAGAGGCAGGGGATTTGTTGGTTCGGGACAAAAATGGGACCCTTTCTCAAAACGATATATTTTTAAAACATTTAAATAAATAACGTGTGCTCTATATACGACATATGTATCCCGGTTTGAATAAATCAGTTACTGCTTGTTATCAAAGTTTAGTAATATTTGGTGCATTCAGCCCATGTCTATTTAAATAGATATCAGTCTATTCATAACTTTCTTTATTCAAATCTATCTCAGTTCATATCTGTCTGTCGGACTATCGGGCAATCTCAGTCTGTTGATATATATATATATATATATATATATATATATATATATCGATGTTTACATCTTTTCAAATGTGCTTTTATCTATCGTCCTGTCTGTTTATATCTAATTTTAGAATAAACGCTAATTTTGGTTTGCTTTTATTGGAGTACATACACACACATGTGTATATGTGTGTATTTTGCCACCTATTTTAAAAGAGACGGTAAAAACAAATATGAAAAAAACTTAAAAGAAAATGAACTATTCCCTTTTTTCATAGACACACACACGCGTGTGTGTGTGTGCACGAGTGCGTTTATGGTCAAAAATAGAGTGCATATGTATAGAAAACGGCATAAAGTCGATTTGCTTGTGCATGTGTAAAGTCTGGATGAGTATGTGGTGGGCTCTCCCGTCGTATTCGACGTATGAGGGTCAAGCAGATCAGTTCTTAGGAAGCGCCAGCCAGACACCTGCACATATGATTTTGATATTATGCTGAAGGTTTTGTGCAGAGCCAACCACACATTTTGAAGGGCCGAATATAGAGACCTGGTGCACTACGTGCCACAAGGTCCCCAAACAACCCACTGCAGGTTTTGAATTCTTTCTCCTAGATTAGTTACCATCCAAGTCTATAGAACCCAGTCTGTCCTGCTATTTGCTCATAGCTGGAGGAAGAAGAAGAGGATTAATACCTTTCCCAAGGGTATTAGCATATAAGTGAATGTAATGGATTCGACTGGAATTCGAACTCAATCCGAGCCGCCGCTATCCACTACTCCACCGTGCCTCTATCTATCTATATATATATATATATATATATATATATATATATATATATATATGTGTGTGTGTGTGTGTGTGTTTGAAACAGTACATAAACGTATTATGGCATAAAAAGCAAGAAATTTAATATTATAGGCCATAATAGATTTAAAATAAAAATCTATCATGGCCTATAATATCAAATTTCTTGCTTTTTATTTATATATATATATATATATATATATATATATATATATATATATATTTCTCATGAATTATCTATGCGCATTAATATTATCTTTTCCTCGCATTACGCACAAACTATTTCTGCTATAGAAAATGATGTTGTCAAATATTCGCGTACACACACACATATATGAGAGCTCGTATCACAGTTCAATCAGCTTGTGTTTTTCCTTACTTGTACGTTTACAGTAGCCTGCGAGTGTGTGTGTTTATGTCTTTCTTGTCCTCAAATAAGAGATTTTTTTGTCTGTTTTTGATCATCAAAATAAATAAGTAAATATACATATAAATAAATAAACCCTTAACGCAAACAGCATCAACTACAAATACGACCATAACGTTCTGACCGTATTCGAGAATTAAAAACACGTCTACAACGCAGCAACTTAGACACCATTTATAGATCAACCCAACACCTTGAAATAGCTAACTGATTAGCCAAAAAGCACTTGGAAAGAACAATCATCAGGACAATTTCTACACCCACACACAAGCACGCACGCGCACCACACGCACACACAACATGTATTACAGATGGACTGCTGCTCAAATAAACAACTAATTAAACATATATAGATACAACACGCATGCACACACCCTCAGACACACCCTCAGACAGACACACAGACTTCCTAGTGTGTCAACAACCCCAGGGTGGACGGTTAAGGCACACACGCGAAAGCTAGTGTTCATCAACAAAATACGGCAAGCAAGAAGCCAAGTGAATGAAGACGCTAACAAAGTCTCTGATTCCCAAACCATTTACACAGGCGCATTAGCTTCCCGGGACGTCTCGCTCTGTACATTGCATGGGCAGTGACAAACAGAGGGATGAAGGCGGAGGTGGAGACGGAGGACGAAGGCACGAAGCTCGTGTCGGGCAAGGAACTGTGGGAAGGGCGGTGGGTAGAAAAGTACGGGCCTGTCCTTACGAATATAAATTCACGTGTTGAGGTGTGTTTGGGGCTACCGACTATTTTGTGAAGGCATTCGCCTGGTTCTTTTGAAGAGTAAAACCGAAAAACGTTGCGACAATTCTTCGATTAGATATACAGGTGGAGATACATAGCTAGGGATAAATTTGGAAGGACACGGAACCCAGTATAGAGGGATATATATATATATATATATATATATATATATATATATATATTAAAAGGGTTAGATATTCATACAGTATCACCCCAAGCAAAACAATAACTAAAACTACTAAGACACAGGGGGGTTACCGACAACATTACTAATCAGTGCAATGAAAGAAATGAAAGAGTGATACGAGGACACATATATATATATATATATATATATATATATATATATATATATACTCTTTGAGGTACCAAAAGATATTTTACGGATATAAACAAAATAGATATAAAAGTCAACACTACAAGCTATCTACATACTCAAAAGATCTTCAGAATTTCCACACGTATGGAGGGGGTGGATGAGACGCAATGTTTGTTATCCTCTCTCTCTCTCTCTCATATACACACACACACATATATATACACACACATACAATATTTTATATATGTATCAGCGAATGTAAATGTAGCACCAACAAATATATGAAGCTATATATCTAATCTATCTATCTATCTATCTATATATATATATATATATATATATATATTGACAGGATAGATAGATATATAGATAGATAAGTGTGTTTTGGAGAGAATTCGATTGTACACACAGGAAGTTTGATACTATTGTTGATGTTATAAATGTTAGAGAAAATATGCGAAAACGATTATATATATATATATATATATATATATATATATATATATATATATATATAATATTGTATATTTGATAGATTAATCAACGCCCTCGACTTGACGCAGCAAATTATTTTTCATAGATTTGTCAAATATTATTAATCCAATATTTTTATATTAATCTTGAAATTCATGATAAATCCTTTATACAAATACTAAACTTTATAAGTATTTTTAAATCTTAATACGAGATATAGTCCTAAAATCTTTTTTTTTTTTTTTTTCGTTTAATATAGATATAAAAACAGATACAAGCGACAACGCAAATACATATATAGATAGTTATAGACATAATCTATCTATTCCACTTAATTCATATCTCTCTTTCCGTATCTATTTACTAATCTATCTATTTATCTAATTCTGGCCATATCTCTCTATCTCATCCTGTTCATATCTATCTATTCTGTTCACTTCTTATTCCTCCCAATTAGTATAGAATTTATTCCGACAGTTCCAATACACATTTATTGTATCATTTCTGCTTTTCCTCGAACTTTCTAATATTATGCGACGCAGTGTTTTTTTAATTATTCCATATATTTTCATTCTACCAAATTTGTCTCCCAATTTAATATCAAGTTGTATTGGCGGGTATATTAGCCATCGCCAGAGCTTTACCGAAAATTGTGAGAAAACAATTTTATTTTTTATTTTTTTTAAATGATAAAAGTAGTCCACTAAATTACCCTTGACTCATATGCATTAAATATTTTTTTCAGCCGACGACGATCGTCATTCTCTTAAAATTCACTTAACGATATTTCAATATTATCAAGTATAGAAACAATTAACTTTCAGGTAAGTTAGGATGAGAGAGACGAACAAAAATTCCGTGTATATATTCTTGGAATTATCTTAAGATTAAAAAAATTACAACTGAAAATACGGTTTTTATGCATTAATTATATTCGATATTTATATTTCGATAACTTTCATAATCTAAAACGGAATCTTAAAGGATTCATTTTTTACACGTTTTACAGTAACAAAAATAAGAAATGCGATTTTATTTTTTTAGATGCCACTGCATGATATTTTTGAAGGTAATAATAATTCAAGTATAAGAGCATTTATTTGAATTTTAAAATGTCTTTCTGATAAATTTGTCAAAATATTAAAGGCACTTATTAAACGAATTCCAAAATGCTTCGTTTTTTTATTAAAAAAAAGAATCCAAAATAATATTTTCCAGAGTTATTCCATTAAAATAGATCGAGAATGAATAAAAAATTTTTTTATAATAATGAAAAAGTATAGTATTTTCTATTCAATGTTACGTATATTACACACACACACCCACACACATATATATATATATATATATATATATATATATATATATATATATGTGTGTGTGTGTGTGTGTGGGGTGCAGCTTTTGGATGACAGACATCTCAGGACAATATAAAGCATTATATAAACATCGATGGATTATCTTTCTAAATATTTACCTATCTGTTAGTTTAACATTTGCTACATTTATGGGGTGAAAGTGCTTACAGATATAAACGATATGGACATAGGAATCAACAGTGCAAGGTGTCTGCCAGTTTTATGATTCCGCTCGAACTTTAGCCAACTATCTATATGATTAATACAAAAACAAAATTGTCACTTAGCTGATTGATGTTATATTCAACTCCAGATTTGCGTAGACGAACCTTTTTGTAATTGTTCCGTCCACTCGTCAGGAGATCTCAGGGGGACAAAATTGAAAAAAAAAATTCCTTTTTTCGAACCATTATGAGTCTGAGAAATTTCGTTCTAGTTACGAGACATGGAAGTAAAGATGTTTTCCTATTTTCTCATTCGACAAGGTAGATGAGGAAGCGATGGTTCTTTACCAAAAATAAATTACTTACATAACTAATATGCTAATAAATATCTATTAATTTACCTCTTGTGATCGTACAATAATTGTTTTCTTTACAGAAACTTAGGATACGTAACCAACTCAAGCTTTCAATAGTGACATTTCGGCTAACAACGAATTAATTTCTTTGCGAATTTAATCAAAAACTAGCACTTAATGAAACGAAATAATTAATGATCATTTAATAATTATTAACAAAGTGAAAAAATATGTCCACTTTTTGGGAGGTATGTATGTCATTTTTACGTATGTCATTTTTTAAAAGGAACACTAGACATTTAGGGATGTATTTATGGTGCGAAAAATAGCGGAGAAAAATTGGATGGTATATAAATAGTGAAGACAAATTAACGGCAAATCATTATCGTATGAAGTCAGTTCTCATATATATATATATATATATATATATATATATATATATATATATATGTGTGTGTGTGTGTGTTGTATATTTGGACAACAATCTTATTTATACATGTTTCTTTGCATGTGAACGACAAAAAACATTTTATCAGTTTTTGCAATGTTGTCATATATATATATATATATATATATATATATATATATATATATATAGAGAGAGAGAGAGAGAGAGAGAGAGAGAGTTGATGAAAAAGAAATTCAAGGGTAAATAATAATAATAAGAAGAAGAAAATTATTAATGATAATAGAAATTATATTTATTGTATATTACTAAGTAGTTTAGAGTAAAACAGAAGCATGACGAGACGAGATGTCTAAAATCTTCCGACGCGCCTCAACGAGAAATAAAAAGTTGAACATTTTTGGCAAAGTCTTTTTGTGTATCTGTCATATTACTAATGAAAACTAACAGCTTGGCGCTATTTATGAACAATCTCTTCCTTCATGTTCGCGTTTTAGTCTAAATGACTAATAATAATACAATAAATATCATTATTATTATTTGTTGATTAATCCACAATTTTTTTAAACAGCGAACTATGACATACTTTTTCTTTAATATATATATATATATATATATATATATATATATATATATATATATATATATATATATATATATATATATATATATATATGTGTGTGTGTGTGTGAAGTATGTAACTACAATCTAGATCATGGTAACGGTCTAAAAGTAAAAAAAATAATAATAATGTGTTTCATAACAATTTAGAAAATAGAATACACGCACACATTATATATATATATATATATATATATATATATATATATATATATAGAGAGAGAGAGAGAGAGAGAGAGAGAGAGAGAGAGAGAGAGAGAGAGAGAGAGAGCGAAAAGTACTGGTTCGGAATATTGTAAATAACCTAGATAATAAATGCTAAATTGTGCACTGGCTTTTGTTTATTTAGACTAAAAATGATAGACACATCTAAATAAAATATGACAGATATTAACAGTGATTGACTGATTCAATCCGACATTTTAAAAGTAATTTTTTATTTTCACTTAATAAAAGAGGATCGACAAATGTGCCCATTTTTTAGCAGTTGTAATAAGTTAGTTGAATCCTACTAGTAGATCTCCCAGTAAGTAGAGTACAGAATCATTGCACTGGAAATTATTAGAAGAGACAATAATCATGTCATCTAGACACTAATTGATTAATTAAGCATTTTATCTATTGATTGACAGGAAAAAAAAACAAGTTACGGATGAGCTGTGATACAGTCTGTGGTTGGCAATATATATACCAGTATATATAACTGTATATATAACCAATATATTAAAAAGGAATAAGTCTACATTCAGGAGCAGCAACTATGAAGAGGGCCACAATGTTATGACCGTGTTTGGGAAATTAAACATTCTTATAAATCGAGATACAGACATCAAAAAATCTATTCAGTTGAAAATAAAAATCAAACACGTACAAAGAGGGGGAGAAAATAACCAAATATACATGCGTATATATTGTATTTCCATATATATATATATATATATATATATATATATATATATATATAATTGTGTGTGAGAAGAGAGAGTATGGATGATAAAACACAGACATTTGTATGTAAATACACTTTTATATATAAAGATAAACTTTACCCATTTTAGTAAACGTAAATATATATATATATATATATATATATATATATATATATATATATATATATATATATATATATATATATATTTCTATAAAAATGCACTAATGTTTATTATATATTTAATAACGTTTCCGTTTAACAGATTATATGAAATATAAACGCAGAGATAGATAAAAAAAAATGCATATAAATATATGTATACACATGTGCACACATATATATATATATATATATATATATATATATATATATATATATATATATATATATATATATATATATATGTATTTGTAAACAAATTTAACTTTTATCCGTTTCTTTACTACAATTATATATACATCCAACCATATTTACAAATATACACATTTCTTATATACACAGAGATATATTTGTATATGCATACATATATAGACACACACACACACACACATATATATATATATATATACATAAATAAAAACATGTACATATGCAAACTTTTGTACATACAGTTTTATAAAAAAACTAATTTTTTACCCATTTTGCTACTTACAAATATATATATATATATATATATATAAAGAAAGAAAGAAAGAAAAGGTATTTTTTTCCCCAATAGCCTACGACAGACGCACCAACTTGATGCAAATATCTGTTGTATTTGACTAATATTCTCTGTGTATTTTTAGGTGTTGACCACCTGTAAAATCTTTTCACTTCAGCCCGAGGAGACGTGCCGATTCAAATGGACAATATATGTGTGCATGTATGTGTGTGAGTCAGTGGTTAACTTTTTCTTTAAAAGCCCGAAGCGACATAATCTTTGAATATAAGCCAAAAGTTTACTTTCTTACTTCAGAACTTTTATCGCCCCCAATCTTATCAATATGTCTACTTAGAGCTATTAGATAAATATAGGCTTCATGACGATTACTCTCATTACCAAATCTATATTATTAATATTTTTTATTATATTTAAGCAATTTTTTTAAATTGTTAATAATTGACACTTTAAAGATTTTAACTAGGTACATCAATAAGTCCGTAGCCTAACTGGGATAAATGGTATTTAAGGTAAAAAATATTTTTTAACATAATCGCCTTCCTTGTTGGCCCATTGTTCATTGCTAATTGTATAGATTGAATCTTATGCAATGAAAACTTCACATCAAAATTCAGCTTTGTATATATCAGACTATTAAGTGACTTATAGTCTTCGTGATCTTTCTTGAAAGTTACTAAGGAATTTAGAAATCTTGACTCATAAAGTAATTACTTTTTCCACAGAATATATATGTTTATTTTATTTTTCAGCAAACGATTACCCCGCTTTTTTTTTATTAAATTTAAACGTTTATTTCTATGGCGACCAGTCACATCTGTTCCTTTCATCTGAACTTAAATTATAATTAATTTTAAAGCTGTAAAGAGTCTACGTACTCTTGATTAATAAATAGACTTGATTAATAAATAGACTTAATTAATAAAATATTATTCAACAGCGATTTGCTCGAACGAGTATCTTCCTTTTAGCTGCTATTGTCGCAACAGTGGAAGAAGGCCGAAAATAGAGCGGCCAAAATCTTGTGTCACTAACAAGATGAGGAGACTCGACTGTTAGATAATTATTCATTAAAAACATTCAGAAAAAATATAAGCCGTTCTTCCAATAAAAAGGAAAAACAAACTGAACAAACGACTTTGTATATACATCAAAATATTGAATAAATATTAATTGACATTGCTATATAGAGGAAGAATATCTATGTCGTCATGGTTTTGAATGGAATAGATATGAATCAAAATCTGTTCAAGTTCCAAGGAGAAAGAACAAACACAAACACCAATAGACAGTACCTACCCTTCGGGTGGGGGTAGGGTCATTACTCGGTGCCTGAAGCGTCCCTAAAAAGGGTATTTTTTTTTTATTATGGGACTGTCGAAAATCCCGTATCAAAATTAAGCTTCGACCTTGCGTCATATTCTGTTGCGACGTGAACGCGCGGATAAATACCTACAGGAAGAATATTTTTTACATATATATATATAACATGAACATCTACATACGTACATGAAAAGATGTTAAAAAGTTCTCGGGCTGATTCACATTTCAAAAACAGTTTCCTGGTTTATGCAATTAAATTTATTTTGTCAAATGCGTCAGACCGAGTGATTTATGAAACCCACTTGTATGTATGTATGTATGTATGTATGTATGTATGTATATAGATAGATAGATAGATAGATAGATAAATAGATAGATAGATAGATAGATAGATAATAGATAGATAGATAGATACTATCGCTCGTTCTTTTTCTTTTTTTTCTTTCTTTTTTTTTCCTATGATCTTTTATCACAATATAATAAAATAAAACAAATAATAAGTGTGTATATGTATTAGAAATATCTACCTGATAATTTTATGTTTTCCATGAGTGTTGCCAAGGTAGAGAAGAACCCAGACTGACCAACGGGTAAACAAATCAAATTCCATCGGACTATTCTTTGCAATAGCGTAAAATTTAAAAAATCAGTGTCGGGATATTTAGGTTTTTTTTTCTTTTTTTTTTTTCTTTTTGTTTTTTTTTTAATTTTTTCTTGGTTTGTTTTTGTTTTTGTTTTTTGTCTTTTTAACTTTTGCTTGAATATTTTTTTTTCTTTTTTTTTTTCAATCAGACGATATTAATTGTTGCTTCATTTGTTGTTTTCTTTCATTCAGAAATTGTGTATGTTTATATACGCAGTTAATCTCTGAAGAAATCATGCGACTTTTGTCGAAACGTCTTCCTAGCAGTCCGTATACACGCAACTTGTTCCTCTGTCGATCCGCCATTGTTTCACAATATTTTTAATTTTTTTTAATAAAAAAATCTGTTAAAGTTCTCTGTCATATTTTTTTTTTTTTAATTTCTTACTCATGCCAATATTTCAATAGAAATGGTTTGTTTTCATACTTACTCGTATATAGATTATCAGGTCTATTTAAATGTAATTTAGAATTGTAGCTTAAATTACACGTTTCTGTCTTTTATATATATATATATATATATATATATATATATATATATATATATATATATATATATATGTATAATATATAGATAGATAGAAATTCTAATCACTAAAAGAACGATTTACAATAAGTTTTAATTTAATAGACAATAAATAAATTATATTCGGCCAAATTTAAAATTAAACCACATTAAAATCAGTTTACGATGAAAACTTATGTGCTATTTAAAAGCTCACTGCTTGATTAGATAGATTCAGTAGCGACGTCAATCACATCAAAACAAGCAAATGATCAAAGTTCAATTCTACCTATTTTGTACCTGTCCAAGATCAACTTTTTCTGGCGCTAGGAACTTCGCCAGTTAACCTGTAAAATCTTGTATAATTCTAAAATATCAACAAAAAAAAAAAAAAATGAAAAATCGTAGCAATGAATGAATAAATTCAATATCTCAAAAAATTTCGAGCTAAGAAAATATGGTTGAATAAGGAGGTCGATAAATCAATAACTTAAAATTATATTTACACATACATTTTTTTATTTTTTTGTTATTTTATGTTCTGAGAATGGCGTTGGGGTTAATATTAATAAGACATTGAGAAATGTTAAATACAGGTTACAAACTGTCGATAAACGAATGCCTTTTGATTAATGCGACAAGTACGAACCTTTCCAAAAAGGCGGGTTCAAATTGTATATTGTTCGTAAGTATTGATTATTTGCTGAGGATTGGCAGTTACAAGGGACAATACCTTGTTATTAGATTCAAATACTAAAGTTAATATAAATGTAATTGTAAAAAAAAAGAAAAGAAAAACACAAAAGTTTTACTATAAATAAGTTGTTTGCAGTTTTGTTTTAAGGGATAAGATTTCATATTAGAATAACAACAAGTCATCGTATAATTTATGAATTTTAAAAATATTTGACAGGTGGATAAAAAAAAACAACAAAAAACTGACAAGAAAAAACCCTTATTTTAAAGCTCTATTTTGAAGAAAGCAAAATTGTTGTTCTTAATATCAAAGACTAGATATATATATCTGCATATTTATCTATCTATTTTTAAAGAATATGTATGTGTTTGTGGGGTACCTGTGACGGCTATTTCGAATATGAGTTCGAACTGGCTTAGATATCAGTTGAGCTTCATGTCTTTGGTGAGCCGCCTTTCTTCACCAATTAGGGTGAATTTTCGACCCTCTACAGCCGCCATCTTCATCTCAGCTAGTCATAACTGGTGAAATGCAATAAACAACGTCATCAGGACCTCTCAAACTTAGAGAAAGGAAGAACAGTGTGTATGTGTGTGTGTGTTTGTATGTGTGTAAGAGGAGTTGAACAGATGAAGAGTGGGAGGGAGAGTAAGAAGGAGGGAAGAAAATGAAAGGCGTGTTTGTGTGTGTGTGTGTGTGTATGTGTATGGACGAGGAGGGAGAGAGAGTGAGAGAGAGGGGGGAGTGGTTTGGAGGAGGTGTGGAGTGGTAGGGGTTGGCTTTATATTGGTCTCCAGTTGAAAAACCATTAAAGAAAAAAATATTAGATGAGAGGGAGAGGAAGAGATAAGACACCCACCTCAATTCCTTGGACAATTCTAAGATTAATGCAATGAAGATATTTACGGAATGAAAGAAAAGACATTTAGAATTAAAAGACTCTTAGAATTAAACATTTCCAATAGTAAAGACGCACAAAGATACGCAAATGCACACAAATGGTGCACAAACAAACACATGTACACACATACATATATATATATATATATATATATATATATATATATATATATATATATATGGGGGTTATCAAAATTTGAAAAATGAGAACACCCAGAAATTATATTGTAATTTCTACTTGGTTCGACAGAGGACTTTTTATCTCCTCCCCGTGTACAAAGACACAGTATATATATATATATATATATATATATATATATATATATATGTGTGTGTGTGTGTGTGTGTGTGTGTGTGAAATACATCCCTGATACCACTTGAGACGAAAAATAGGCAAGCCTCCATGCAGTGTTTATTTCTACGTTTACAGTGTTTATAATATAATAAATTTTAAGCAACACACACACACACACATATATATATATATATATATATATATATATAAATTCCCCCGACAAATGTCTCACTTCACTTTTTTATTTCTTATTTAGAATGGCAGTTTGATTTCTTTTCATCCTGCTTACATTTAGTCAAAATGTTTACTAATGTATAATAAATATTACTAGTTTTAATACTAGTATTTTTTGTCTCTCAAATTTCTTTTCATTATCTAACTATATATATATATATATATATATATATATATATATATATATATATATATATATATATATATATATATATATAGTTGGAGAGAGAGAGATAGATAAATAGATATGTTCAAGTGTTGACAAATGTTGTCAGCCGTATAAGTTTGCGAAACAGATTCCTTGCCACTATATGCAGCAATTTTTACAGTGCTTTATGGAAATAAAAGAAAACTTGCTCAAAAGTATAAGAAATGGGCAACAACCGTAGCGCAGTAGTGAGTAAGTTCATTACACCTACGAATTAATGTAGTGAGTTCGATTCTCACTTAGGGTTCTGTTTTTTAGCCCCCTTGTACATTCAGCCCTCTCTGTGTGTGTGTGTGTGTGTGTGTTTACTCATACATTTAATTTCTTGGTTAGTCGAGCAGATCATTGCTGGTTTGGCGGTCTTCTTCTCTCTAGGATACCTAACAATCGTGTCCTTGTACCAGCCTCAGCATTTTCACGCATGCGCGTAAAAGAGAGAGAGAGAGAGAGAGAGAGACGTAGATTTTGATAAATACTCTCCAAGAAATAGCAAAATATGTAACCATTACTGTAGCTATGGACGTTCCATTTACAGTTTATTCATTGTACATGAAAGATTCATCACTAGAAGCGGTTCTAATATGATTGAGTGTCTGTTTCTCGAATCGCTGGCCATGAAAGTATTTTAAATGTAATCCAGACAAACATACGCGTACAGTCAAGGAATGTTATGATTTTAATTTTTATTCAGGCAATTAAATACTACACAAGATACACGCTTCGGCGATCATGTCTCTTTTCGTTTCGTCATTAATTAGTCAGAAGATATTGCCTCAGTAGGTTTCTGCAATACACTGGTTGCCAACCAAGGCTAAAGCACTGTCTGTCCAGCTATTCAGCCTATAGCTGGGAGAAGGGGGAGAAAAGGTGGATTCAAACATCTCGCAAGGGGGTATTTGCAATAAGGGAAAGTAACGAACCCAATTGGAGTTCGAACTCGGCTCTCCGATTTTACATTCTGAGATGTTATTCAATACAAAACATCGACTATTAATTTTTAAAATATGAAATTAAACTTCTTTCTTTGTCGATACAGGTTATCTACAAGTACACTTTTATTAGAAACAATGGATTTTTATGCATCCGTGCAAAAATCATCTTAAGTAGGGCGTGAGTGTCTTTGATTTTAAATGTACAGTGCGAATTGGGTACGCACGTGTGTGTGTGTGTGTGTATTGGAGGTGTATATACAATTCCTATTCAAATTTACTTTTGAACAAGTTTTGTTAAAATTAAGTGTGTTCTATATAACAAGCTGTTTGATATACTGTCATATATATATATATATATATATATATATATATATATATATATATATATATATATATATATATATATACAAACAAACATACATATAAGGCTGATATAGCTTCTGGATGAGTTGACTGAACGATTACAAAAAAGTTCATCTACCAAAATGAGAGATGTTGAATATAACATCAATCAGCTAAGTGACTAACTTTATTAGTATTTATTTATCCTCTCTCTCTCTCTATATATATATATATACATGTATGTATGTATGTATGTATGTATGTATGTATGTATGTATGTATAAACTATATTATATACATATTTTAGCAGACATATCCACAATTAGAATTTGTCTATTTTGAAATAAAAAATAAACAAATAAATAAATAAAAGTTACTTTAAGTTTGCAATATGAGACTTTAAAAAAAATGTCTTTTTATCATTCTTGTGTTTGCCAACATGAGTGTCTCTAACAGTTTTCTCAGTCAGATTATGTATTTTCTGACTGCACATGTTTCTTTGTTGAATATATACTCTTATATATTTTATTGGATAAACAAGAAAGCAAAAGATTTCTCTCTCTCTCTCTCTCTCTCTCTCTCTCAGACACACCTATATACACAAACGTACAGCATATTTTAAGAATGTCAAAAAGACCGTCCTGAAGATAAAAGAGAAATAGGAATTGAAGAACGTGGCAATTATAATAGTCTTGGAAAAGAATGGCCAAACAGGATAAAACACACCCCGCACTATTTTTTTTTTTTTGATATTATATACGGCTTTTTCCAATCCACGATACGAATCACAAATATTTTCCCCCGTTTAATATAAAACTTTGACAGATTAATTAGAAATGCCTCAAAAAAAAAAAAAAAAAAAAAAAAAAAATCCTATTCATATTTTCCCAAGAAAGTGTGCATTTTTAAATGTATTCCTCTTAACCGATTCTCAAGTGGATGAAAATCCGGATGATAAGCAGGATTCTTTATGCTAAATTCTCTTGAGATTAGCTTAACGATACTGTTGGAAAATATTTCAAAAAGCTCGATCACTGTAATTAAAAAAAAAAAAAGATGCTAATCCCTGCTAGAAAACTGAATATAATGGAGTATATTAATTTGGAGAAGAAGTATGGTCACTAGGTATTTAAACACTTTTTAAGAATGATTCATATTCAGACGCGAGATATATATATATATATATATATATATATATATATATATATATATATATATATATATATGTGTGTGTATAGCGTGTTTACATATTTTAAAGTATTTTCTGTACCAACACTATGTTTACACATATAGGACAAAGACAGTTTTTTGAAAATATTATATATATATATATATATATATATATATATATATATATATAATTCAAATTTATAGGATAAGAATTATATACACAGATATACACTGACAACACACATACATACATATGTGTATATTTCCATACATACATACATACATATGGATACCCACAAAAATATACATACGTTATATACATATATATATAAGTATTATATCTTGTTATATACGGGCAAACAAGTACTCACGGCAAACATGCATATCAGTATGTAGATATATAAATACGTACGTGCATAAATATGTGTACACGCACACATATATACACATATTTGTACTTACATGAACCTTATATATATGTACATATTTGTTTCTGGTTGATACATTTCTCATTTCTTAGCGATGTTAGAAAAGGAAGAAAAATATATATACATACATATATATATATATAATATATATATATATATATATATATATATATATATATATGTGTGTGTTTGTTTTAAAATTGTTTGTCAGAATAACGACTAAATATATTTTGGGAATTGGTTTCTTTAGTGTGCTGATTATTTTTCTCCACTTTTTACGTGTAAGTATGTTGGTAGATAGATGATATATAATAAAAATGGAGAGATAATTGTTTATAAAAATATATGGTATATCTATTAATTTAGGTTGATTGTGCAGTTTTATTAAATATTTAAAATATACATATGTGTATATATATATATATATATATATATATGCAAATATTTATACATACATATTTATAAATATATGCTTATACATATTTATATACATGTATACACATACATATTTATACATACATATTTATACAAACACATATATATATACATATTTATATTAAAACATATATATATATATATATACACATATTTATACAAAAACATATATATATATATACACATATTTATACAAAACATATATATATATATATATATATTTATACAAAAACATATATATATATATATATATATTTATACAAAAAACATATATATATATATATACATATTTATACAAAAAATATATATATATATACATATTTATACAAAAACATATATATATATATATATATTTATACAAAATATATATATATATATATACATACATATTTATAAAACATATATATATATATATATATATACATATTTATACAAACACATATATATATATATATACATATTTATACAAACATACATATATATATATACATACATATTTATATATATATATATATATATACATATATTTATACAAACATATATATATATATATACATACATATTTATATAAATATATATATATATATATATATTTATATAAATACACATATATATATATACATACATATTTATACAAACATATTTATACAAACACATATATATATATATATACATATATTATACAAACACACACATATATATATATATACATATTTATACAAACATATATATATATATATATATATATTTATACAAAACATATTTATACAAACACACACATATATATATATATATATACATATTTATACAAACACACATATATATATATATATAATATATATATACACATTTAAAACACATATATATATATACATACATATTTATACAAAAACATATATATATATATATATATATATATATATTACATATTATATATATATATATATATATATATACATATTTAAAAAATATATATATATATATATACATATTTATATATAAATATATATATATATATATATACATATTATATATATAAAACATATATATATACATATATACATACATATTTATACAAAAACATATATATATATATATATATACATATTTATACAAAAACATGTATATATAT